TCTCGATACTCTACCGCTGTTCCACCGCCACGTTGACATTGGTATCCGATCATCCGGGTCGGCGACTTGTATCATAAAGTCTGCCGCGGCAAAATCTAGATTTCGAGCTGAAACATCCGTTGCCAAAAGACACGAGTGCTTGGCTGCCGAAAACTTGGCCGTGGTGTCGAGTCGAGCGCCTTGTTTCTGGCGACCGTGGATGTGCAGTAGTGGTATACCGGGCTGCATGTGACGGAAGGATTCGTAGACGAATCGGACCGTTTTAGCAGACGAAAAGAAGCAGAGAATCTTGGACTTCTTGCTCGCCTGTATAAAACTCCACAATGTGTCCAGCTTCTCTTCCAGCGGGCAGATGATGTAGTTCTGAGTGAGACCTTTGGGCGTTGCACTTTTATCTTCGGCGTGTACTGATACATATTCGGGCTCTTGGAGGCTCAATCGTGCGAGATCGGAGACCTTCTTGGATTGTGTGGCCGAGAAGAGCAACGTCTGCCTCTCTTTGGGAAGATATTCAACGATGGCGTCCACATCCCGTTGGAAGCCCATGTCTAGAATGCGATCTGCCTCGTCCAGCACCAGGATTTTCAGGTCATCGACACTAAAGGCTGCTGTTTGCGACAGATGCTGCAGCATCCTGCCCGGTGTTGCTACCAGAATATTCATCTTTGTCAAAGCCTCTCTCTCGTCTTTCAAACTCTTGCCGCCTATCAACAACCCAGCCGCAAACATATGCCCATGCCGTCCAATCTTACGTAGTACGTCGAAGATTTGAATTGCGAGTTCTCGTGTTGGGGACAGAATCAGCGCGCCCAAGCCGGCGTCTGGCCCGATATGCTGTAGCCGATACAGGTTTTCCAGCACAGGTATGATGAAAGAGAGAGTCTTTCCACTTCCAGTCTTGGCTGCACCGAGAATGTCGTGCCCTTGGAGAGCTAGCGGTATGGATTTTGCCTGGACGTCGGTCATGACGGCGAAATGCGACGACTTGAGGCCTTGCTTGGTCGGATCAGATAGCGGTAGGTCGGTGAAGTCTTTGTAGGAGCCATGTTTGGTATCCTATAATCAGTCAGTCAGTTAGCCAGCCAACTATGCAGCATGCGTCTTGAATGTGTTGGCAATCCTACCAGTGCCTGGACGGCTTGTTCCAGCTTTTCGACATCGACATCGTCACGCTTCCTCTTTTGCAGGTTTTCACGCTTCTTGACCTTGGTAGGCCGTGTGCGACCAGTAATTCCAGGCGCAACCATTTCAGTGCTGTATCGTGTCTTGAGCGCGACTCGGGATTGGTGCTGTCGCATCGCGAGAGAACTTTTTGGTGGAGACGTGCGAACGGCCCGTGCTCTTCTTCGCCGCGGGGATCCAGCTAGGCGTCTGATGGCGAGCTTCGCGCTTTCCCAGTCACCGTCATCATCCACCCAGCACTGCGCAGAAAAGTACTTGGTATACCCCAAATACTATCACACTCGTTTTCTGCGATTCCAATTTAATTTCAACTTCCCCCTCCGGCCCGAACTGACTTGGACCTGTACTTGGTAGCAGGTGAAGGCTGTAAGCTTGATAGCTGTAGAATAACACGCCCACAACTTCAGCATGACGGACGATATCGATGCCGAGCTTGCGGGCATCGGAAAGGAGATGGATAAGGTAACTTGCATCCACCAGCTCTATATACGACATGGCTAACTCTTCGCAGGACGCTGAGATTGAGCGTAAGTCGCGGTCGCATACACTCAAAAAGCCCACTAACAGCTATAGGCATCCGCAGCGTCTTCAGCCTTGACGCCTACGCTGTCCTCGACCTCCAGCCCGGTGTCCCCGAATCCGATATCAAGAAAGTCTACCGTGCCAAGTCACTCCTCATCCATCCTGACAAGACCAAGAACGAGCTTGCCCCCGATGCCTTTGACCGCCTCAAGAAAGCCCAGACTGTCCTACTCGATGAGAAACTGCGGGCCGAGCTAGACGAGAACATTGCCGATGCGCGTATGCTGCTCATGCGCGAAAAGAAGCTCACGGCCGACGACGAGGAGACGCGTGGCGAGGAGTTTGCCAAAGAGTGGAGGCAGAAGGTCATTTGGGTGATTAGGGACAACGAGATGCGGAAGCAGCGGCAAATGAAGGCCGCCATGCGCGAAGAGGGTAGGGCACAAAAGAAGGAAGAAGAGGAGATGAAGGAGCGCAAGAGGAAGAGGGAGCAGGATGAGGCCTGGGAGAAGACGAGGGATACCAGGATCAACAGTTGGAGGGACTTTCAGCAGGGGAAGAAGCCCGAAGCTGCTGATGGTACCAAAAAGAAGAAGAAGAAGGTCAAGGCTCTGGGTTGAATGTGTCGCAGTAGACGCGATCTCGACTATTTGCGCATCACCAGCTGACCACTCCTGTATCTTGCATGTGCGGATATAGCCCGCCTTTTTCCACCCGGAGAACCTCGCAGCGAGCATCCAAGACGCGGCGAACGCCCGACTGCTTCCGATTGCCTTTCCACGCCTCGATACCCACTTGTTTTTCCTTCTGCATATACTTTCTGTAATCATGACGACAAGTTCACGAAACCCATGTTTCACCCACCTCTTGAGCCTCTCTCATGTTCTTATCTCTGCCACAGCCACTTGGTAGACCCAAAAAATGGGATGCTTTATACTTCTGGTCAAAGCACGCGCAAGTGAGCAGTAGCGTTTCACTCTGAAAGCCCTGTGCTACTGCGGGTCAACTTGTGCAACTCATAAACAAGTTGTATGTAACACACGACTAACACGGCTTGTCTGAGACGAAATGTCCATGTACCTACTGTATGATTCTTATATATACAGAGTGTAAATAGCGTAGCTAGCTCTACTACTGTTACCATGAGAAATGTCTTCTTTATGTATACATGATGTCGATAAAACGTGATGTGATAGGAAAAGGGTATCATCCGCCCAACTGGCCTAGCAGCCATATTTCCCATTGACAAAGAAAAATGTTCCCTTGCCTCTTGCGAAGCCCCTACTATTGACGCCGCATATGTGTAGACTTTCAAACCGGCGGTAGGCCTTGAGTATAATGGGCAGAAAAGGGTCCAGGAATAGAAAAGGAAAAAAAAACGCCTCTCGCCTCATTCTATGGATGATTCTCCGCCCGCCCTTCTTCACAAGGGCATTTCCCAGAAGAGCGGCACCATCAGCCCCCACATGTTGTGATCTTTGCTGACCTGCATTGCGCACCAGAAGGACCGGGACATGCAGACAGATCCCTCGAACCGAAATGCAACACCCCTCCCCAAAACAGCCGTGCGTACCCAAAGATGCGAGCATTACTCTCTCGAGAACAAGGAAAAACGTTCGCAATCGACGACCGTTTTGCAGTAAGAGACAGTGTACAAGCGAGTGCGAGTGCGAGTACATATATGCTGGGAAAGAAAGCGCAGTTGAAGGAATGCAAAAGTGTTCCAGCGACTTGGATCCCGGTCAACATGCTGAAACACCAACGCGAACGCACGGATCCCCTATCTGTAGTACAAAACTAGCCCGTGGTCCCATGTATAAAGGGCAAACAGGTATGTGTCTTTCCGTGTCCCTTTTTTCTTCTTTTTGGAATGGGGCAAAACGCCGTTGGATGCCGCTGCTTTCAAGCATGGATAGGGTGCTTATCATGCCCACAAAGGGAAGCAACGACCGACGAATACGAGGTAAATCGCGGAGCAGAGCGATAAAAACGAGTTGAATCGGAAAGCACGGGGAGAGAAGAAAAAAGAATAAGAGGAAGCGAAGAGCCAGTGTGGTATCCCAAGGTGCTTATGCTATGCGAACGTGCCATGGCAAACCCAGCGCAGATGGGTGAACAACAAGAGCGAGTGATAAATGCACGGGACTATGCGAAGCGAATTGACGAACCGCAAAAGAATGCCAACGACCCGATGACGAAATCGAAGAAAGAATGACCAGCTCGGGAGTACCAGTTGTCGTTGTCCCGTGTGTAGCACATGTCGTTGTACCGTTTCAGTCGAACCAGGGAAACCCGTCTTACACCATCGCTATACAACGCCCAATTGTTGAGACATAAAGTCCCTGCCTTGAACCCCGCCGCAAGCTTGGCAAAAGATATTTCCATTGCCCTTGCATGTCACGTACGTCTCAGGTACGCATGGCTACTCTCTCCTTCCTATTCAAGTACCTCGTGGATATTCAAGCGCCTCCGCTTTCCCGTCTCAGGAGACTCAGGCCTTCGTTGCTCGGCTCCGCTCGGAGGGGAATCTCGTGGCCTCACACGTTCGCGTTCGTGTTGCAGAGCGATAGGCCCAGTTTCAATGTGTAAAGGTGAACCTAGTGGTGGCGGCCCAGTTCGTATGGGTGGCAGGTGTAAACCTTCAAGGCGTGCTGGACGATTGGGCTCTCTGAGTGGCTCCGACGTCGCCGCTGGCAATCTAGCATTTACCGCGTAAGGGGAGGGGTAGGTGTTTGAAGTGAGCTGCGGGGGCGGTTGGTATGTTGGAAAATATGCTGACTCTGCTCCGCTAGCGATTGGCGAGTACCGACGTGAGGGACTGCTGCTGTAAGAGCTAGGACTGAAGGCCGGGAGTGAAGTACGGATAGATGAAAAATTGAAGAAGGGTGAGTTGGGCGCGGAGCTAGTCGAAGATGGCCGACGAGGTTGGTGTGGCGTAAACTGCGTGACAGTAGCCGTCGTTGGCGCCGAGTTGCTCTGTGAGCCATGTCTTGGTGTCGGAGGGGCCAACTGCTGTGTCAAAAGAGGTGGAGCTGTCAGCCTTGGTGGTGAGCAAACAACCAGGGTGACAAAGTACAGTGACGTCTTTGCAAGCCGTATCTGGACTTGCAGAGATTGGTACTGCCCACCGGCAGGAACCCGGAAACTCAAAAAAATGGACCTGCTTGTAAAGCCCTGGGTGACATGGTCAATATCCTGATCAGCTACAGACTCCATCACTGCACGCATAGGATCCTGTCCAACCGGGGTAATGGGCGCCATATAGGTTGGCTCACGCTCGTCGCGTTCATCGCGCAATTCGTTGCGCAGACGCTGCAGACTCTCGTTCTGTCGCGCTTCCAAAAGATCGCCGAGGTGTTTACCCCTAATGTCTCCCAGGAACGATACCAAATCTGCGAAAGCCTGATTGGTCTTTTGAATAACCAGATCCAAGTTCAGATACGCGACCGGCAGTTTTTGGTAGGCCGCATTCGGTCCGGCACTGTATAAAGGAGGTAGCACTGCACCGCCGTAGTCGCCGACATTGCTGGTGGCATCTCTGGTTGCCGGCGCACCCGGATGCGAAATGGCGCTCGGCACATCTCGGTGATGCGCAGTGCCCCCCAGAACACGCTGGTCGGAGGGCCGGTACAATGGCGCGCCATAAGGAGGCTGATGTGGTGGTGCTTCAGAGGTAGGCGGCGCGCCCAAGAGCTGGCTAGGCGGTGCTCTCCCCTCGTCTGTTCTGGTAAACTCTCTGTCGTCTCTCAGCCGCGGCCTTCCTCTCTTCTTGTGTTGCACATCTTTGCATGTGTCCTGTAGGAGATGGATTAGCTTGTCAAAGCACAAGCGTGATGCATTCTATGGGAAACTAACCTGTTTGCCAGAAGCGACGCAACGGCCACAGGGTCGTTGAACGTCGCAGCTGAGATGCGCCTTTTTACAATTGACGCAAGCCGATGCAACATGAGCCTTTGTTCTTCTTGCTGGTTTCGTTGGCCTTGCTGGGGGTGGTGCAATCATGGCGCCTTGTTGCACCATTGGCCCCGTGTGCTGAAGTCCAGCGTAAGGAGGCAGGCTGGCATTTTGGTAGCCATAGCTGTAGCTGTTCGGGATGCCATGTCCGTAGGATTGGTGCTCGAGGGCACGGCCGTGGTGGTAATGAGGCGCTTGGCCCCGATGCTGGGGATCTCCAGGGTACAGCGGTCGCTGTGAGGGAAGGCTATGCGAGATGGATCCAGATCGTGGCTCGTATACTGATGACGAAGCAGGTGGTTGAGTCAGACTGTCCTGCCTTTGGGAAACGCCCACAGCCGGAGGATAGGAATAGCGCGCGGATTCAACGGGCTGTGTTGGTCGACGAGATGGGGAATGAGGTTCTGACATGGGCGGGGATGGGTAACCTTGATGCTCAGGCCTGTGAGGACTGAACTTGGACCGGAACTTGGCCAGGCCGTCTTCAGCTTCTGCAGGCCGCCCAAATGGCGTAGAAAGGAGTGAGGTCGGACCTGGTAAAGACAGGCTCTGCATAGTTTGGCCACTGTGCGCTCAAACGCCGCGTCAGCAGCGGGAGCTCAACTGTGCGGAAGGGCAGCTGGAGCGAATAGCTTGGTAAGCCCACACACGGCGCCTCGATTTGCGGAGCAAGATGGAGCACGTTATGGAAATGGGGTTGGTGTTGCAATTGAGATAGGCCTACATGGAGACTAGGGTAAGCTGATGAAGAGGCGAGGAAATCAAGACAACGGACAAAAGGTGGTAATTCGGTGCAGGACCAAAACAGGTGCGAATGGCACTTGGGTATGCCAACGCATTATCAATGCCGATGCGGCGGCGGTTGACAAGCCTAGGTGGAGCCTGATGCATGCCAACAGGATTTAGAGGCAAAGAAAAAAAAAGGTCTGGCAAAATACCTTTTTGATATGGCCGTGTCCTCGGTCTTGGACGGTCACAAGGAAAGCAGTGGGCTGGGGTAGCAAAGGGGAATGCGCCGGACCAGTGTTGGATAGGGCTCGACTAGAGCTGCAAGCTGCAAGCTGCAAGCTGCAGGTGATGGGACGAGGAGAAGGAAGAGGCGAGGCGATGATGGTGATGGGTTTGTGGGACCAATGGGGAAACTGGAAGGGCAAGTCGTAAAAGAGCAGAGCAGACATGTGCCCACTCGGCGGACATTCCCCAGTAATAACTACAATCGGTTATGGGGATTCTACACCCAGATCTTTGCTAAATCCCTGTCAAGTCGTGCATGACGGGGCCATCCAGGAGACGGGAGCCACGATGAGTTCCGGGCAACGGGAGCAGGGAAGGACGCGTCTCGGGGACGACTACATGCCTCCCTCGTTCGGCTGATGGTTCTTGGACATTTGCTGCTAGGCCGGCTTTCCCAGTCGGTCGATGTACCCGCGGAAGCATCTATGCACGGCCGTCAGTTGGTAGCATGCATGGGCTCAGCGGGTTGGGGAGCCTGGTCAGAGGCTGCTCGACCCCCTGCTTTCCGCACCGTCCTCCAGCCGGGATGTGCTAACGAGATGTGGCTCGCGCCTCTGCGCGCTATTGCACCATTGTTTTGCAGGCGCCCAGGCAAACTTTCCATCGAGGCATAGCATAAAGTCGGGCGCCCTTAATGCGCAGCCTACGCTTATGTGCGACCCCGTCATTGCTCTCTGTTGCTTGTTCGGCCACAAGTTGGGGACGCCCGGGGTACTGATCCGAGATGGGCAATGAAGAAGCCAAAACACGGGACAAGGTAGGGAATCAGGAGCCGCCATGAGGTGCAAGGGGGGGGGGTGGCAGGTGGCAGGCGTGAGGTACGCTGAGGTATGCATTGTGGCTCGTAGTGACAGGCCCGCTGTTATGGTGCACTACGTTATGGACACGCTTGTCACTGTCAGTTGGGCTTCCGGACCCTTCAAGCCAACCACTGCACTGATCACCTAGCACGTCTTTTTCCCACACGTACCGACGGCCGCAGCGGAAGCTCTCGCCTCGTGGCGGCTGCACTGCATGGCCTACTGGGGGAAGCTTGCTCAGGGTCTCCATGTCGCGACAGTAGCATCGCCGCTGTCCGATGACGCACACACCTGGCGCAAACTTTGATCTTAGCTGCTCGACACCCAAGACATTGGGGCGCGCCCGCTGCTGCGATCGACGCCGCGTTACGGATATGGCTGAGCAATGCGACGCTGTTCCTGTTCGTCGAGTGGAGAAATCCGTCGATATACTTTGTTTGAACGAGTCGAAAAGCAAGGCCCCCAAACAAAGACGGCCCCTGAAGTATAAACATTCAACATGTCTCTGGGGTGCAGAGGGCTGCGTTGCGACACGCTATTTCTAGGTGCATAGCGCCGGCCCTGTAGGCTCGTATGGTGCGGGTCATGGATCTGGCAGATGCAGTCCTGCTCTGGACCAGCATACGCGAGCGGCGGTAAGCTGTATCCGACGACATATGTCCCCGTAGTCTATAGTGTCTATAGTCTATTGCTGAGCAAAAAGAGGCTTCTGTACAGGTCATAATGAGGCGCACACGTCTAGTCAGTGCTTCCATGTACTTGTGTATGCACAGTGCTGAGAGTGCGCAATAGATCAAACAGCGGACTGCCTGCAGTGCAGACGATCTTGCACCCAGCCTGTACAGCAATCACCACTTGAACAGTCGCCCCAGGATGCGCTAAACCGTGGCGTTTCAATGCGGTTCTCATAGTGCCGTAGTCGAAATAAGCCAGAGGTATAATTTGTGACCACTATAGCCGTCCCCCAGCCGTGTCGCATTAGGATAGCACATGCAAAAAAAAAACTCCGGTGGATATAATCGATCGAAACCTGGCGCCGTCGACGATCTGCCCGTAAACTGTCCGAGTCCGACTTGACCACGGCATCGTCGGCGATAGGTCACTGCGCTCATCTTATTGGAGCGTGCACCAACAGCATTGACGATGCGGGGCCGAAGTATGGGTTGTTGTGCACCGGTCGACGTGAATGTCAGTGTCGTGGCCTCTTGACCTCGGGACGACACGAGAGAGGGAGAAATAGGCAGGAGGGTCCGAGCGCCCCTCCTTCACACCGCACACCTGCAACAACGACTGCGGCAGGACAAACACTTGACGCTGCACCAGTTGGATGGGCCAGCGCCCACGTCAACTCAACACGGAGTAGCGGTAGCCTGAGCCGAGAGCCGTGAGCCGTGAGCCGTGAGCCGTGAGCCGTGAAGATCGATGCCCGCGTCTAGGGCACGGGCACAGTTACGGTCACGGCGGGTGTATATACATGCCTATATATGTACTCACCAAGTGTGGCTCCTGCTCGCGGTACGGTACTGCTGGAACGAGGATTCTTGTACGGGTCCATATCAGTCGTGATATTCGTCAGGACAATTTGGAATAGCCTATGTAAGTATTGCTTTGAAGCGAGACCAAGACGCAGCAGATCCATGGGCAAAGGACATGGCTCCAAACGCATCATAGTCATAGGCAGATAGTCGCTGTGCTTGTTGCGGAAAGGTCCGCGATCCAACACGCAGGGTGCCTGACTCGGGGCCTGCAGGACCTTTTCTTCCTTTTGTATCGGGGCAAGTGTTCCGGCTGGGACTGGGACTGAAAAGACAAGCTGCACATGTGTGAGTCGGTGGGCAGGGGAGTTGGGCGTGATTGGACCCGGCGCGGAAAATATCATGCCAGCCGAGAGAGGCCAGAACCTGGCCTTTGATTTAGCCTCGTCGAGGCTTACTGTGGTCCAAAAATAATCTTAGATAGCGGAAATGTCGACGTTAAGAGCAGGTCTTATATCGCCTGTAGATTGCTTTCAATCTCTCTCGTTACGATTGCCCGAGGCTAACTACGGCATGCACACAACGGCCTGTCCAGGGCGCCGGGAATGCCGTCCTACTGTGGCGGGCCTTGCCGCTGTGGTGCTGCGCAGCTGAATCGAGGCCGGCTGTCTGCATGCGATGCGACCGCCTGCGAACACGCTGGCGATGGCGAGGCTGTACTGGACAAAGTACATAGATACTGTATCCATATCCGCCACTCCTTGGTGACGATATCGCCACGAGTCAGTCAGCTCACCAGGACCCAGATATCACGACACGCCTGCGGCGGGATCTACGAACCGGTGCTCAGGACACATTGTGCCAAAAGTAGTGGCAACCAGGGCCCCTCGCTGACCTGACCTTCATGCTGGGGGTCCTTGCATGTGAGCCCGCCCTTGGCCCATACTCGATGTGCGACTGGGTGCGGGCCGAGCACCGCTGCCATGCAGACCTCGGTGCCTTTTACCATCACTATCGTACTGGTAGCTCGTGTGCCGACACCGACAGCACAGCGGCCAGCGGCCAGCGGCATTCAAGGCGCCCTGCAGTCTCTCTCGTCATGTGTGGTGACCAAGCCCCACATGTCTCGCTCACCCCTCCCCTTTCAAAGACTGCTCAGGCCCGCCACGGAGCGAGAAATTTCCGTCCGGAGGGTTGCTACTATACACCATTACGACGAAGCCGTTTACCGAGATATGAAATGTGACGACGTGCATCTACCCGACTGCAGCGATAGCTTGCCCAGACTGTGCCGCTCCCAAAGCTGCCACGCCGCAGCCGTTGGCCTAAACCTTTTCACTTGTTCAGCCTGCTGATCTTCATTGACAATCCCAAGAGACTTTGGGCCGTGAGATTGCGTCGTCCTATTCGGGACGCGTTGAATATCAAAAAGCCGTTGGCATGCTAAAATTCGCCTGCTGCTGTGCCTGAGTAACGCGAAACCCAGCCCGATGCCATGGATGCAGACATGAGGCCTTGGATGCGACCATGGAGGAAAAGCAACTGTGGCGGCTTCTAGAAGGCCGTCGGGCACTCCGCAGCTTGTCCGTCGCGACGCAGCCGCAGCAGGATTATCAATTGATTGATCATGTCTCGCGGCGTTTGCGCTAAATGGGGACTGGCCTGCACCCTTACCATTACGGTACATGGCCAGGAGTGGAGAAGACGACTTGTCCCGCGAAGAAATCTCCTCGAGGGATGACGTGCGTCAAGGCCCCTATCCCTGCCTCGGACCTTAATCGTCTGAGGTTTGGGCCCTTCACCCAATACGCCGACTTATGCGCGGTCGCCTGTCAGTGTCAAAACTTACCCGACCTTCGATAGACGCCGGGAACTCTATCGTGCGTACAGTTGATCACGCACAGGTGCACAAGGTTTTTGGGCCATGGCTGATCCAACGGCATCTCCCCGCCCCGAAGAATTGCTTGATAACCTTGATTCTCGCCGACCACGACAATGCCCGGCCAAAAGAACAAAGCCACTATCGACTTGATGCGTGCCCTGACCCAAGAGGGCATCATGCTCGCCCATGGCAATGCTGCAGCCGCCCGATAAACTTTCGCCAACCCGCACAAATGTGGCACAGTAAAGCAATGACAGTCCTCCAACGCCAGCTGTTACACCCAGACCCGACGGGGGGGTGCGGGCCCTGAAGAAAGAATCATCGCCTGACCATGCGGGTCATAACGGCCTTTCTTCGCGCAAATCCCAACTTTTGGCCAATTACTGTATGCCAGACTTTCTTTTCACTCGCCACGCCCCATACTCGTCACTTGTCAAATCGGATTCTAGGCGGCGCCTCGGTCCGCCACAACACAGCGCAGGGTGCTGCGGAAGTAAGCAACCACACCACCACACGCTCTCATTGTCAAACTACATGGTCGCTTCCTCTAACCAGCCAAGACAAATGTGCTTCTTGATTACATCTAATCAAAACTTCCGCTTCTTCGATGGGCGTGCATTCTTCGCTTGACGCTGTTCCTTGACCCTGCGATTCTTCCGCACTGCGTCCACGTCTCGAAGTTCATTCTTGGCACCACCATCCTTGAATGCACCGATGCGCTTCTCCTTGGCCTCAGCCACCCGCTTCTTCTGGACATGATAATCATCGCGGTACCGATCAGCCTGCTTCGGAGCCTTCTCCGCCTTGTGCTTGTAACGCGGGGCGTTATTGAAGGATGCAGCAGAGCGGTTGGGTGCCTCCATTTCACCAACTCGGGGCATCTTCACCTTGTTGGCCTTGCGCCAGTCATCGAAACGGCCACTGCGGAAACTGGCCGCAATCTTCTGTCCACTTTCTCCTCGAATCATCTTTGTTCCCTTGGACCCATCCTCATCGTTGGTGCGATTGACATACTTTTTCGACTTCTTGTCCCATCGCATCTTCGATTTGGCTGCATCCGCAAATCCTTGGATCTCATCGTTCACCAGAGACATTTCTGCTGCCCTTGCTGCTGACACGAAGTTGGTGTTACCAGCATCTCCACCACTCACACCGTATGCCTTTTCTTCTGCCATGTTCTCCTTGGGGAGGTACGACATGAAATAGTCGTCATTCCGCCAGCTGTCTTGTTTTGACTTTTTCGACGTTGGCTGTGAGACTGACACCTCGAGTTCGTCAGAATCAGATTCGTATATGCCGTTCGCAACCTCGACTTCGTCGTCTGACTCTACTCCATCATTTGACTTTCTTGAAGGTTCGTCGATTGCATCCAAGCTGCCTTCAGCCATCTTGTTGGCTGCCTGCTTGGCCTTTTGTCGTCCGACCTGCTCTCGTCTTTTGCGCATTATTTCAGCTGTTTCGCTACCGGTTCCACGTCGACCAATCTCGAACACAGTCTCCGCAGGTCTGAAAGACTGAATTCTGGCAAGCATGTTCTCCTTCTCCCTTTGAGCTTGGTGGGCATCGTCGCTGAAGAGCATGTGCGTCTCTGCAAAGTTCGGGGATGCTACTAGCTCCTTGGCCCGCCCTACACTTTGTGCGCTTGCTTGGTTACGTGTTCGTTGATATTGACGCTCTCCCTTTTCAGCCACGCTCAATAGAAGCGCCAGGTCCTCATCCTCGGCGAGCTGCTTGTTCACTAGTTCGACGGAAGATTCCAGTTGCCATGGCGCTAAGCTTCCGACAACGAAATCTTCTGCATAGTTCGGTTCCTCGCTCGACCTTCCGACTAGTAGTCGCTTGCCAAGGAAAAGCTGTAAATCTATGAGGTACGGCAGATCGACGTGTCTGCAAAGACTATAGGCCCATCCCTTTCTTCCGGCTCGGGCTGTGCGTCCCACTCGATGCACGAAAATCTTGGGCTGCGAAGGGAAGTCGTAGTTGATCACATGGTTGATATGCGGCATGTCCACACCACGGGCAGCGACATCAGTGACGACAAGTATACGCGTCAACCCGGTGCGGAAGTCTTGTATTTGCTCTTTGCGAGCGGTCTGATCGAGGTTTCCATACACTACTGGCGTTAGTAGCGAAACGATAGAACAAGACCAGAGGACATACCATAAGATACCGCATATCCCGCGTTGCGAAGAAGGTTGGAGAGATATTCCACCCTGTGTTTGGTTGCAGCGAAGATAATCGTGGACTCGGCGACGGGAACGTCTTTTACGAACCCTTCGCTACGCTTGCGCTTCTTGCTGTTGCTGGCTTTCTCGGCGTCTTCCTTGGCTTTCTTTGATGCGTCAGTCTCGCCCACTGGCACCTTGATGACGTTGTCGAGAAGATGAAGTAACGCGCCGTCTCGATCTCCGGATTTTATGGTGAAGTAGGCACTCTTGAGATCGGGTGAAATCTTGCTCTCTGCATCGAGACGGATCAGCTTCGGCTCCTGAAGACCTGCTCTTGCAAACTCAACAAGTGACTTTGGTAGTGTGGCACTGAATAGCAGTGTTTGTCTTGAGGCCGGTAGGGCATGCAAAATCTCAGATAGTTGTGCTGCAAAACCCATTTCGAATAGACGATCGGCCTCGTCGAAGACAATGTACCGGACAGAAGACAGATCAAGGCCCATCTCGACTTTCAAATGCAGGAAACGACCAGGTGTGGCGATGATGATATCGGGGTTGGTGGTCATGGAGCTGAATTCTGCCCGAATTGTTAGTGTGGATCTCGATATGCCTATTTTCTACTGCACATACGTTCTTCTAGGCTGTCACCACCAACAAGTAGGATGGTCCTTAGATCGGTGCCGCGCCCTAATTCTTTGACAACCTTGAGCGTCTGCAGAGCCAACTCGCGAGATGGAGACATGATGATACCGCGAGCGCCTACTTTGGCAGAATGCGCCTTGAGCTTTTGAATCATAGGTATGACAAAAGCAGCCGTCTTTCCAGACCCGGTCCTGGCCATGCCAACCACATCCTCGCCCTGTAACATCAGAGGCACTGCTTTCCGCTGGATCGGAGTTGGTATCTTGAAGCCTTTCTGTGCGATAGCTTTGAGCAGCGCTGCGTTCAAGCCCATTGCCTGAAAACCTCCACCTTTTTTGACCGATTTCCCTACGTTGGAGGCTTTGCGGTTCGATGCAGCCTGCTTGGCGGCAATGAATGCCTCGTCATCGGAGCCGTCATCCTCCCCAATGTTGAGATCCAAGCCCAGATTCGCGTCCAAACCCGTCTCTTGCTGTTCTTGATCGCCGCCAGCGAGAGCATCGAATATGTCGAATTCGGTTTCGGAGAGCGCCGGCGAGCTCGCGCGGGGAGCCATGGTCGGTAAGTCGTGTGTGGAACTGCGAGACGTGCTGCTATTCGACTCTGCCGGGGCCTGAGGGTCGCGCCTGTTGCCTCTGCGATATGGAAAATTTCGGGCACGGGCCATCTGAAATCTTGGCGACAGGGGTCCTGACCGACAAGCTCCCACGTGCCCCGCGATGAGGCAGGCGCGTCCGACGCGTTTTGCCCTCATCAGTCTTGTGCACCGCGCTTGCCCAAGAGTACGCCAACGAGATGAGTACGAAAGCGACTTCTAGATGCCTTCAATTGCCAGAAGCTAATCTTGCCAGACTACAACGGCTACGAAACCTCGTATACCTCGTACGGCGCTGGCGGTGGTGCTGGCGGAGGCGGCTTTATACCAGGAGAGGGTGGCAGTACACAAAGCCCTGGCAACCGACGAGACCACAGTCACGACTCGCTGCGCCCAGTCACCATCAAGCAAATTCTTGAGGCCCAAGGAGAAGCCGGTAGCGGCAGCGATCAGACTCTCAAGATCGATGGCGCCGTGCTCAGCCAGGTATGCCACACATAGCTTTGCACTCACCCCCCACATGCTAAGCCCTCTACCAGCTCACACTTGTCGGCCAAATACGCAACATATCCAACCAGACGACAAACACCACCTACAGACTCGATGACGGCACCGGAAGTATAGAGGTCAAGGTCTGGGTCGATTCCGACTCATCTGAACAGCCCAACCCAACCAAAGCCAAGCTTGTTGAAGGTGCATACTGCAGAGCATGGGGCAAATTAAAAATCTTCAACGACCGGAGATCTGTGGGAGCGACCGTCATCCGCCCAATCGAAGACATGAACGAGGTTTCCTTCCACCTGCTCGAAGCGACCGCTGTACATTTACACTTCACTCGCGGGCCACCTGGTGGCGCGCGGACTGCTGGTGCCAACGCAAATGGTGCGGCAGGACAGCAACAACAAAAAGCAGCCGGTGGTGAATATGGCGGCTACGATCTCAGCAAATACGGTCCGGTAGCGAAGAAGGTGTTCCAGTATTTGAGGGAAGCACCGCAGTCGAACGAGGGTCTGAATCAGCATGAGATTGCTGCAAAGCTCGGTATCGATACAGCCGATGTTGCAAAGGGTTCCGATGAGCTTCTGTCTGCAGGTCTCATCTATACCACCGTTGATGACCAGACCTGGGCAATCCTCGAGGCCGACTAAGCGCGATGCTGAGTTAAGTAGGGGTGTATCGCCAATCACAACGGGTAGTGCAAAGTGTGCGTCATACTGAGTATGCCATTTACAAGGCACTCCATTTCTCTTCCAGAAGCATCTACTACTTTTCTTCGTTTGTAGCGATGAATAAGATACATGTACCAACAATGGCACCCGATACAATGGTGAACACTATTTGCGTCTTCCATCCTGTCTGCACAATTGCCTGCCGTTGACTGTACCGCGACACCGTATTGATGTAATTCGACAGTCCGGACAGCATACATGCCATAGCCAGTAACCAGAAGATGATGCCTAGCGGCAGTGCGAATCGTTTCTCTACAATGCGGGGTAAGCAGACTGTATTACAAAGGCACATGTTTGACTGATCGTCTTACCAAGTGGCGTTGGTTCAGACTTTAAGTGGAATGAAAGTACAATGGCTACGGATACTATGGCCATGTACACGCTCAGCTTAAGCCACGAGAGGAATGCTACACTATTCATTAGCCAAATAACCCCCTTTCCTTGGTCTAGTTAGACATACTTCGTTCGTTTGCAGCATGATCCCTCGCATCCGAAGTAACGTTATCAAACAGCAACACGCCCAGCCACGGTCTCTCTCTAAAGGCTACACGATCATACTCATTACTCCTATCCCCGTGAATCAGTGATATAGACATCAAAGTTATAATAGGGAAACAAACTGTTTGATTAAGATGGGTGCGCCACCAAAGATCTTGTAGAATGGTCGGTATGGTTCACGGAGGATAGACTCATCGCTCTCATCCATGCGCGATGCATCTCTGAAATCCATCTTCGCTATATTTCTTATCGTAACTTTAAGTGTGGGGTTATACGAGTTATCTTCTCGGCACTGGAGAGAGTGGTTGGTGGTAAGCCTGAAGTTCCGGCATGGAGCACGCCGGTATTACTCGCACGGACTTCGGGATTACCGGAAAGTGAGATCACGTCACGTTCAACTGCTTTCATGTTCTGTTTGTTTTGTTTGCAAACAAGCTTCGTGTCATCAACTTCTTTTCTATCACGAGCAATTGACAACATGGGAAACGAAAAGGAGCTCGTGCTGTTTGGAGGTGACAAGTAAGTAAAGTCTAATGTGCAATACCTGTGGGTTGCTGACGAGCGTTTCGTGTAGGGGCTGGAATGCTTCAGATTGGACAGCGAGCGATGACCGGGTCCGCGGGGGGAAGTCGCAGGTAGCTTTACTCCTAGTCGCTTTGCTGTCGTCTCGTCTTCGATATTCTAATTTGTACGCGACAGTCTTACCTTGACATTGAAGGTTGTTCGGCGCGTTTTCACGGTAACCTCGACATCACGGCTCTCGGTGGCGCCGGCTTTGCCAGCCAACGCACTACGGGGGATGATCGATCCTGGAACCTATCCGGCTACGATGGCATCTATCTCACCTTAGGAAAGCACGATGGCAAGAAGTATACGTTGACGCTCAAAGACGAAATCTTGCCACTTATGGCAGATGGCCGAGAACAATCTTCGCTCAGCTACGAGTATGATTTCGATTCCAAGGACGAGATGGAGATTTTTGTGCCATGGCAGGCGATGAAGCCGACGTATCGCGGAAGGGAACAGGAAGATGCGAAACCTTTGAACAAAGAGAGTGTCAAAAGGATGAGTTTAATGATGAGGAGGTAGAAATGCACGCTACCAGATCAAGAAGATGCAATGTCTGACATCAAATAGTTTCTTCGCACAGCAGGAAGGCGATTTTGACCTCACCATCAATTCTATCGGTGCTATCTCGCAACCCAGCGATGTCGAGAAGGGGATCAGTTACCGCCCACGAGGCGTCGTTATCGGCGTAAGACTTTGACTAAACTAGTATTCTGGGCAACAACTAATCCAACAGTAGGATCAGGAGGTTTGGTCATGGAAAAACTCCAACCTTGTCGGACTGGCACTCATTCTGGGGTCAGCTTGGGCTATCTCCGCTGGATATTGCTGGTTCAAGGGTTATGATATGAGTTTCATGAGGTTCAAGAGGTGGTGGTTTGTTGTAAAGAAGTAATCTCGTCGCCGGTCCTGTGAAGGTATCACTTCCAAACGATATACTACGTCCAATGCTGGAAACAAACTGTAAATTCCTATCACCATTAAATTACCACTAAAGAAATAGTGAAGAATGCCGATATCATCTGTATCACATGCTCATTATAAAGCGCCAGGGATAAAGGTATCAAATCTGACATTGAATGCTGTCAAATGAGATGAGATTTTGTGGTAAACTGATGATTATTGTTTGTTCTGTGTCTGCCCTCGTCTCACGAAGTTGAGGGCTACGGGAGTATATATGTCGTTAGATCCGAGTTAGGCCAACGTAGGATTTGGGCTTTACAAAGGGGGTCTCATCCCTTACCTAGGGGCATTGAGCCCCTCGGAAGGGTTTTTACCCCTTGCCTAGAGCCGAAGTAGGATACCCCTTCCATCTGACCCCTTCCATCTGACAAATGCAAACAACCAACAGAGTATGAGTGATAGGGGCAACAACCTAATGAAAGATGTGTTCATGGGCATTCAATGCTGTTGGTTCAAGATGCAAGTATGTAGTTTAGGCGATGTCCTGGTTGCGTATTGTGGGCCGGAGGACACAAACGGCTGTCGAACTGCCTTGGCAGCGATACCCCCATTGAGCCATCTTGTCTACATTTACCATAATGTTTACATTATTTTCCACATACGACCATAGAACACTGAAAGCACGGCTTCCCGTCCGCTCAGCCCTAGTTAACCAGTGTATCGGTGGACTAGTAGTCAGGTGGGTGACCACTGGCGAATCCCCGCTGTTGTATGTTTTTGCCTTTTAAGGCAAATTTTTTAGGTATTATTATATAGTATGTTAACTGTTGGAAGGCCTTGTACGATCGTACGGTGAATAACAGTAGCTAAGGTAATCTTGTGTATTGGTATTCTGGTGTATGATGATTCTACGAATGTGGGGGCTACGAAGGTATACATAACGTTGGGTCCGAGTTGGGCCGAAGTAGGATCGAGGCGGTACATTGGGCCTTATTAGGCGACACACCGTGTGTATGCCGACATTAACAATATTTTTTGCTCTACTTCTAGCTAATAACACGTAATTATTACATTAGTTAAATTATTTTACACTCTACTTCGCCCTCCGGCCCACGAAACCTAACTAGATAACCATCTTTCAACCTGTGAGGGATCGATCAAGAAAGATTGGATTTGACAAGATACAAGCTATCGAGCTATCTACGTTGTGAGCCCGAACTTATGCTGTGGGCGCCAAGGCGCTAGTCCGATAAGATAAGGATCTCATCGATATGGGGGCCATAGGCCGAGCGAGTCTATGGATCCGTAACAAACCTACCTTTGACTCTATTGTCACGCCCTGAACCCACCAATCTTCCTATATGTCCTCAATCTCGCAAAACTCATCGTCGCAGCATGGCCTTCCGCGTCCTTACACTCTACTACTATACACTTTCGGTAGTCTATTACAAAGCGAGAGAGAGTAATAAGCATACATTACTAAGATAGTATAGTAGATAGAAAGATACATAACTTAAACATCAAAAGAAATAGCTTAAAGTAGATAACTAATGGGTATAGAGAATGTTGCCTCTATCTACACGGGAGCGCCAGATTATGTCCCCGGCACTAAAGCCATCTAACATGCAATGTCTCATATTTAGACTTTGCACACCAACATAGTTATCTTACCCTCAATCTTATAATTACGAACAAACTTTTATGACCAATTGACGTCCAAAGCTCATCGTCTTCGTAGGCGTTGAACTCCACCACCGCACGAACCCCCTGACTACCTAAGCTCCTACGCAAACGTTCAACGGCACGCCCAAAGAAAAAGACACCTCCTATCAGCTGCGTCCCAAACAAAGAAAAAACTCCGCTATGCGGACATCTCCTCAAGACTATAATGGGCAATATCCTCATTCTCGCGTACCTAGTACCAACTTCGGCATAAGTTTGCCCGAGTTTGTTTACGTCAAGCTTTGAACCATTTCTCGTAACCAGCCTTGGCCCATCCCGTACCAGCATCAAGGATGCTTAGCGTACCAAAAAAACCCCCCCGGGTAAATGGAGCCGTATAGCGTGTTCTGCCGCACTTGCGGTCGGCAGCGACTGCCTGGCTTAGCTGGTTGACTGGCTAGCGAGCGAAGGCAAATCGGAGCTGGGCTCAGGGGAACACGGGTGCTTCCTGCTGCCATGGTTTGCATGGCGAGAAAAGTGTGGTACCGAGGCGCAACCGTAAGGTACGAAGGTCTCGCGAATCTAGTTTGTTTCATTTGGGCCAGGGGAGGGGTGAGAGAAAGAGAGAGAGAAAGAGAGAAAGAGAGAGAGAAAGAGAGAAAGAGAGAGAGAAAGAGAGAAAGAGAGAGAGAGAGAGAGAGAGAGAGTGTGTGTGTGTGTGTGAAGTGTTCACAATATGAGATTTTGCTTGTTTGGGCATGTTGAGGGGGGAAGGAGATGGCATGATTGTTGGTGTGATTTCCCCGCAAAAACAGTGTAGGTGCAGGATTGTACCAAACATGGGATTTCGGGTCGTCGTTTCATGCAGATGTGGGTATAGGGGAAATGAGGAGAAACGGTTCGACCGGTTCGTGATGATGATGCTGATGATGTTGTCCGTCACATGTGAAAGTCATGTATGTGATTCATGTTCATCACCTACGTGGCATACGGCACAACATTCCCATTTGCACTAAGATAAGCCGCGGCCAAAACTTTGTTCATAGTTTCCAGTTCTTTGACAAACACAAACAGCGGGACCGGTCGTGTTGTCCGGCACGGGAAGTAGTAACAGTAGTAGACTCATAGGTATGCCATGTAGGAACAGCGTTTGTACATTATTCTCTATGCAGAGCCGTTATGCATGGTCTAATGCAAACATGCGCAACGCCCCTTCCCCTCCTACCAGGAACAAAAGCAAGGGGGGAATCCTGGAGAGTGGCCATGGCAACAGCAGCTGTACGAGAAAAGAACAGCCGACCAACCGGGTGCCCGTAGCCGTTACCTTTTGTTCTGCTGTTCGGTCTTT